TTCAAACTCATTTGATCGGGGTGAAGAGAAGCGAACAAGACCACTCGTCTTCTTTTTTTATTCTGATTTTCACATGCCAGAAACTGAGAACAGGGTTTGTGCGATGAGCCAGCCTCCACGCTAATTTCCATCTTGAACAGAAGGAGCTGCGGCCGCGACCGAGAGTCCCTATCTTTTCAAACCAAGCAAATCCCCACCCCGCAGCTTCTCCCTTGGAGAGCTCTCTCCATTACGCAGGCGCGCTAGAGGCCCAAATCGCCTACCGCCTGTGAAGCGCGACATTTCCCGGCTCCCTCCTTTACGGCGCGCCGCTATACGACAGCCGAAGTTCCTTGTTTACGACTCGTCTCGCGGATTGTTTCGCTCGTTGCTCCGCGACGGGTGGTTTTTTTTCTTGCTGGCTTTTCATCCTCGAACCCAAGAGCGGCTCGGCTAAGCGGAGGTGAGCGCGGGCTACCGAGCCGCGGACCGAGGTGCGGCGCCCATCCTCTGCTGAGGCAGCCTTGCGGCCGGGGAGCGGGGAAATGGATGTCCCGGGCCGCCTGCTGCCCTCTTGGCGCTTCTGCCGCTCGGGCTCCGGGGGTCCTTCGGGGCCACGAGGGTCGGTTGCCTTTAAGAAAGGAAAAGCAGGCAGATCGGGCTGCTCCTCGATCGAATGAAGCGTTTCCTTACGGACGCATAGGCTGCAATTGCAGGCACGCTTACTCTGGAGTAGTGCAAGACCCATTAGAATAACGGGGACTTACTGCTGAGTAAACGTGCGCAAGTTCAATACGCAGCCATTACAACAGGGATGGGGGAATCTGTGGCCCTCCGAATGCTCTTGGTTGCCATCCCTACCCGTTTTCTGTGCTTGTTGTGGAGGTTGAGGTCAGCAGCATCTGGAGGGCCAAAGGCCGCCCCCCCCCATCATTGCTTTTTATAGCAGTGCATGTAGTTGACCCTGTTTCCCCCACCCCACTCCCATTTTTCTGGCTCCTCCTCCCCTCCCCTCCCCAGAACATTTGGATAGAAATTAACCTTTCTGCTTAAAACAACTGACATTCAAACCCCTTGATCTTGTTGTTAAGGGTTTTTAATATATATATATATATATATATATATATATATATATATATGATAAAAGATCTCTTAACGGGAAGATATGAAATATGTCATACCAAAAGACATTTGGAAGTTGTTGGTAACATATGAACTATCAGCTGTACTTAAGAGAGAAGTTTCTAAAACTGGTCACAGTGTAATCAGTAACCTTCTGTTTCCTCCCCACCAAGACTACTTCATATTTGCTAACTTCCACACATCATGGAGACAGAACAGATTATGGAGAGCCAGCCACAGGTAATGCCAAAACCCCCAACAATACCTGCTTTAGTGAGATTGTGTGTGTAAGAGATATTTTATAATTGTGTGATGCTTTGCAGGTTCCAGAAAATCCTCATGCGGAATATGGTCTTACAGAGAACGTAGAGGTAACTAAGTTTATCGTTAGAGTTAACTATTCCCTGTTGAAATTGGGATCTGCTATATTTTTTTGTGATTGTATTTCTTAACTGTAAGTTTTTAAACTGTATTGTAAATGGTTGTTGCCCATCCTGGGAACTTTGAGTGAAGGGTGGGTAATAAATTAATAATAGTCTCATCTTGACACTCTTAAAGAGTACAATTTGCTAAAGTTGTTTATTCATAGAATTGAGGGAAGCTAGCGATAGGGGCTCTGATCCAGTCGTGTGTTAGAATAGCTTGTCTAATACAACTTTACAATCTCAGGTATTTATTATAGAAGTGCCTGAGCTCGTGTAGCTAAGAATGAAAGAGATTTATTTTGCTTTCATCCTGGCATTAGTATTACAAAGACTGTTGCATATATGAAGATCCTCATATTGATGTTCACCTATTGAATGCCTTTGTATATTTGTGTGCAAAACAATTTTTATTTCACCATCCAGGTGATTTCACCACTATTCACCTCATCTAGACATTTTTGCTGTAAATTTGTAAAAATCAGGCAAGGAACCAGCAATGGCTGTCTCATGGAGCCATAGTAAGCAAACAGAATTTTCAAGGAAACAAACATTTTTAATGGGGGTTCTGCGTGATTTTTTGAGAAAACATACTTATTTCACTGAATAAGTAAAATGTATGGATTTTTGGTCAATTTTTAGATAGTTCAGAAATGCATGACTTTATATTTTCAACTTAAACACTGGATTGCTGTCTTCATCTAGTGTTTGTTTACATTTTAAGCGAATAGTGGAAAATGAGAAAGCAAGTGCAGAGAAAACATCAAAGCAGAAAGTAGATCTTCAGTCACTACCTACACGTGCCTATTTGGACCAGACAGTTGTGCCTATCTTACTACAAGGTCTTGCAGTACTTGCAAAAGAAAGGTACCATATTTGTTTATCTTTCATGATTTCATTCTTAACAACGTTCACAAACTTCTGCTTGCAGTCGTTATATAGGCCTAGTTCTTACAAACAGCAAGTGAATTGGGAAATATATGGCTGGGCTTTACAACAGTGGATAGGAGCTCAGGTGAATGAATTTTGCATGCTAAATAATCATTTGCGCATAAAAAAATGTAGCATTTTGCATCATTAGACCTTACCCCTTGATATGCTGTTTTTCAAGCATTTTTGTATGAAGAATAATTCATTCATGTGAGCCCACACTTGTATTTTAAACTGATATAGTCCTGACACTTATTGCCACCTCATTTGCTGTGTTTGGGAATGAGACTTTAATGCATGTGTGTGAAGTGTGAACATTTCTACACAAACTGGAAGTAGTTATGCTGGCTCTGGTCATCAGCCTTAATTTGATAAGCACCATGAACAGCATGATGCAGATGAGTATCCAGTTTCATTTGAGAGTTAGCAAAGCTGGAATTGGAAGAGGTCTAAAAAGAACGAGGGTGGAGATCAAGACTGGCCTGTAGTAAATAGAATACAATCTGATTTGACATGGCTGTAATGAGAGACCACAGCATTCATTATCCTGGGTTTTTTTTTGGGGGGGGGGGAATGAACTGCTACTGGATCACTACTTCTCTCCTGTTATTTCTGTAGGAAGAGATGGTGAGAGCGCCTACAGCCAAGCATTCCTAAATCTACATATTTTTAATCCCTGTTTCCATATGTCTAGAGGGGTACAGAGTAGTTTCCTCTCATTTCCCTTCCCAAGCAGAAGGGGATTAGGATAGATAGTAAGGATAAAGTAAGTAAATCTAAGCATTTCCCCCTCATTTTTCAGGCCCAATAACAACCATGTAATATTATAGTTCAACAACTTTAAGCCATGCCAGTCCAGTATAGGAGTTAAGGAATTCATTTCCATTTTAAGGAATTTAACACTTGCCCCAAGTTAAAATAAAAAAGCAGATCAAATGAACAGCTGTAAAAATCTGACATTCTTTGAAACTTTGGAATTTAGCCTACCACAGATGAAATTAAGAGAAAAAATGCTAATGATATAAGAAATTAAAATGTTTTCACTAGCAACTCTACATTTACCAAATGCCTGCTACTTATGGCAGAATCCTAACGCATGTCTACTCAGTTAAGTTCTATTTAATTCAATGGGACTTACTCCCAGATAAGTAGGATTAGGACTGCTGCCATAATGTATTAAAGTAAAATGTTTTGTGATCCCAAACAATACTCAAGTACTTTTAGTCTTTTTAAATCTACTACATACTGTGGGTTCCATTCCTGAAACTACTTTTAGGTGGGTAATTTTGATAATTTAATTGAGGTTAAAAGAATTATTGAATTGGTAGGTATGTACAAAACCACTATTCTCTTTTTATTTTCAGACCACCAAATCCTATTGAATTCCTTGCAGCATACCTGTTAAAAAATAAGGCACAGTTTGAGGACCGAAATTAATTTCATCTTCAGAGGACCATTTGACTGATCAGTATATATGCTAAATAACCATGAATCACTGTCTGATGTATAAATCCTACAAAAACAAAAATATCACTTTTGCTCAATTTCTTTAGCCTTTTCTTGAGTTATGTCAGCGGCATGGGGAGATAACACTGTGTCAGCAAAATCGACACTGTAGCCGATACATGCACAGCCTTAGAAGAAGGAGAAAGTATACAACACAGCGAAATTAAAAGTTTTTTGCCAGTGGGAGGGGCCAGGAGGTACAACAAGGGCAGACACAAGCTGATGACAGCAGCCTTGGGTGGCTTGAGGTTGAAAGCAGGAGCCGGACTCAACTTTTGTTATGCAGTCACATCAGAGACAAAACAGAGAGCCATACCCAGTTCACCAGATTAGGAGTCCACCGCTCTTAACCACTACACCACACTGGCTCTCATTGCTTTCTTTCTCATTCCTTCCTTCCTTCCCACCCCACCCCCTGCAACCAACTGACTGTCATCAGCAGAACCTTCTGACGTGTACTCTGAGAGGCCTCCCCTTCACAGTCCAAAGAATGAGCAGAGGGCCGACTGTCCCATAGCCCATCAAGCTCCCTACTATTTCCCCGAGTCCTATCCTGTGGCTAGCTAAGCTAGACTATACCAGTGTAGAGGAAAGGGAAACCTAGCAATGAAGATACAACATGGCAAAAGACAAAGCTATTGTTATAAAGGATCTAAGGCGGAGTTGGCATCAGATTTTTATGGTTTACCTTCTCAAACCACACTAGTGGTGTACAGCCCATTAAATAGTTTTTTTATTAAAACAAACAAACCGGTGCATCAGTTACCAGGTCCAAAGAACAATTGTCTGGTGGATGGATCTAGCAGGCCTAACTTAAATGGGAACAGTAATGATTTCAAGCTGAAGAATAAAGATTGCAGCACAAAAACAAATTTAGTAATAACTACATATTAAAAGAGAGTGCAGGCTTCATTGCCTAGATGGCAGTGGACACAAGCCATATTCATTTACTTGGGTATTCATAGGCCACCTCTCAGGGTTAACCAGGGTGGGTCATGAGACAAAAGCTCATTATAACAAATCACAAAATCACAACCAAAATATAAAAATGTTATAATGACAGCTGCAGTTAAAACATGATCGTTGACAGTAAAAATACAACATTAGTGTAAATACGAAAACCAAGCAGCAAAGAATAAATCATTAAAAGCAGCAGTTAAATGCAAGTGTTAAAATGTCAGTTTTGAGGAAAGCGTTTTCAAAGCCTGCTTAAAAATCATTGACATAGGGAATAAATGCACCCACTTAGGGAGGAAGTTCCATAATCAGGAGACCAGCACTGCTCAGTAAGACGTATTTGACTACGCTGATCTAACTTATGATATAATTAAGTAAAAGTATTGCTAAATATAAACTTTTGGATATTTTTTTTTGGTCTGATGAATTAAAAAAACTCAGTTTATTATATTTAAATAAATCTGATTGTTATATGTCCCCTTTGGTGATACTGGAGAAGATGACAGAGAACTCTCATTAAAAAAAAATCTCTGTTCATTTTTAAAGGGCATTTTTTAATTAAAAAAATATTTATAACAATAACACACTGTAGTCAAAATAGCCTCAGTACTCTTTATCTTTAAACTCCACTGATAAATAAACTATTAGTTGTTAAGCTTGTACCCCTGAAAGATAACACAGCCTTTTGAAGAATAGTGTTACCCATGTTCTCTGCAAATATTTGGTTTATTATTTTAGCCATAACGTTTCATACTTTTCAGTATTACGTAGCCTCCCATATGCTGAACTTTTCTAGCATCTGTTATCATTTTACTGTAAAACTCTGCGTGTTCCTTTCTCATGTTTCTCCAGCAGCTAAACTGGAGAATATCTAATATCTAATACAGATATTTATTTTTATGCTTCAGTATGTTCAGCCCTTGTTTCTAATTAAGCTACTGGGTACTGCAGGCAAAGCAGCAGCCAGGAGAGGGACCCCTTGAGAAAAAGATTAAGGCCATTTTACACAAATGATGCTGAACTAGGGTTGAAAGATTACTGGTGTTTATTTCTGTCCAAACTGTAAAACCCATATATATATTTTTAAAAGCCTCACTGTTGTGCCATGCTATTTATTTTATTTAAAAGTTCATACACACATACATACTCAGACATATATATTACTTAATATTTCAAAAATCACCAAACAGTACACAGATATACCACTTTTAATGCAAAATAAAGCAGCTTACAGGGTTAAAAGCAGCAACACCTAACACCGTACGTTACGGGTCAGCTGTTTTAAGCAGCTGATTTGGGGTGTCACAAAAGGGCAGGAAACGGGGGGACCTGAAGCATGAATGGTTGTGTAGATGAATCACAACAGATCCGGCTTGTCCTGCAAGCCACACCTGCTGAAATCTGGTCTTCTGAACATCTATTAAAAGTGCAGGAGCCCTATCCTCTCTTTTACCTGGCCACCTTACTCTGTACCTTTTCACTGAGTGCTTTCCTCTTATCACTCTGTCATCTGAGCTGGTTTGTAAGGATCTTTGACTAAGGGGCTGGTTGGGTCTTTAGCCAAGAAATCTGCTTTCAGTGTCAGATGTCTTTCACAGCCAACTTAGATGAGCAGAAGCACTTTCCAGGCAAAGCCATCATTGGATACAACCTGCATAGGTTTAACATAGCACCATATAGTCAAAGAATGATATTTTTTTTTTACAGTTTGCTACCTCAAGGGGGCATCATCTAAAAATAGACACAAGAATCAGCAGAAAGGGAGGAAGATGGTGGCAGAGTTGAGCCTTTGGAGATTACGATTACTAGTCATAGAGTTGGAAGGGACCCTGAGGATAATCTAGTCCAACCCCCTGCAATGCAGGAATATGCAGCTTGCAATGCAGATATATGCAGCTGCCCCATACAGGGATCAAACCTGCAACCGTGGTTTTATCAGCACCACACTCTAACCAACTGAGCAATCCAGGTACTTTACCTCTGTGTACTTCAGTTTAGGTAGAGGAAGATTTGAAGCAAGAATACATGGAAGTATCCTGGCCAAGTGCGTAGTTCATTTTTCTCTCTGGTTTAAGTACAGAAACTCTCTAATCTCAGAAGGAAGGATTTCCAGGTAGTGTAAATCTAGACTAACTTGAGTAATAACATTTCTTTTTCCATAAATGAAGCAAGTAGTACAATGAAATGGCTTCCATCTTTCTTTAGCTCTGGAATTTACCATTGTATTCCATGCAGTGGCGCCAGCTCCTAGGGGCTGAAGCACTGTGGGATCCCCTGATTTATTTTTTTTAAAGGAGCTGGGCCCCCTCAATGTTCGGAGCCCCCCCCCCCATGACGTCAGTACATCAGGACATTGTGCACAGGCACCCTCAATCCTCTGGCAAAGGTGGCGCCTCTGATCTCAAGAAACACCGAGACTAGATGGTGGTACATCATCTGTGGCACATGAATAAATTGTTGAATTCGACCTGAAAAGCACTCTGCAGAAAAGTTTCCAAACAATTCAGAGGCCATGCGCTTTTGAGATCAAACTGGAATTTCAAAGACCAATCTTCTTAACATCCCTGCCAGTCTTTAGTTCAGCTGCCAGGCACCATCAGCATTCCAATCATTCAGCTGTCATTCATGTCAACGTATCTTAGTATATGATGTGTCACCTGTTATCCAGGAAGGACAGATGGAAGAAAAAATAAATCAAAGTTGTACATTGCAAAAGGGTTTGTTAGGTAGGTCTCCTGCAAGAAACATGAAGCCGTAAAACAAACTACATTTCTGACTGTCATGGAAACAAGAAATTTGAGCGACTCTGAAAGGGGTTTGCTTTTCTAACACAACAAAGCACAGCTCTGTTTCTGCCGTGGTTAACAATGCTAGGATGTACAAGAAATTCTTGCAACACCTGATAGAACCAATAAAGCAGAGTGTTTGAGGACCCTAGTTTGTTCCTGGTCCTTGAAAATGGGTACGTAAGCATGTGCTGGGGAACCATCCTTTGCATTTTGTCCTCAGTAGGCCTGCCAGCTTTCACTCTGATGTCTCAAGTCCTCAAGGCATAGTGCAATCTGTTTTGCATTTTTGAAAATGCAGCAAATCCTCTAAGCCCAGCAGTGCTGATCCAAGATGCTGAGCTACCTGAAGCAAAGCCTAATGGCACCCCAACCTCGCTAGGGCTAATGCTTGACAAAATCTTCCTGCATAATTCAGGCACTGATTCCTGCTGTCCCCTATCCTCCTCCTGCCCATGCCACCAGAAGCGAGTCAATTCAGCCTGCTACATAGCAGAACCAGCCAAGGGCCCTAGCAGGACAGCACTACCGGCTGTAGTTTTCTATAGACGAGAATTCTGGAGATTTGTGATGTGCAACAAAAAGGGAAATGCCACCAAGAAAAGAGTGACCCTTTAATAATCACAACCACCTGCATTATCTCTCTAGCTCTGAAGCAGAAGGCACTTCAGAGCTATGGGGTTTCTTGAGAGCAGGGAAGGAACATCCTTCAAATCTGCCTGTCCTCTGGAGCCAGAATCAATCAAGTAATTCCCAATACCTTTTCACAAATCTCTGGTCTGGACCCAAGCTAGTTAAAACACTCTGGTGAGATGATCCTAAGTTTGCAGAGCACTTAGTATTTATTAAGGAGTCAAGATAAAGTGAGAAAGAAATAGTAGGTTGCAGCAAAGCAAAATATCAGCAGTCTGATATAACTAATTCTTACACATGATATGGAGCCTAAAATCATTTTCAGTAACTCTCATATGAACATGAAGCATCTTTTGGCATGCTAAGGCTAAGCTTTCCCAGGCCAAATGAAGATGGAGATAAAAGCATGTTCAAAACAAGCTATTTTATGTTGTTCCAGAGGTAGCAGGACTGGCATAGGGGAAAACAAGTGGTTGAATAAGGTACAGTACTGTTATTTTCATGTTCCTCACTTATACAGCAATAGTGATACTTAATACACTATTTAGTTTGGAGGATAACTTGTTTATCAACCACTTATCCTGATTTGCTTGCATAAAGTTGACACAGATGTTATATTATGCCTGCTCTTTATCTTCATTCTAATCTGTTTCTGGGGAGAGTGCAACAATGTGCATTCACCCTAATTTCATCCTGATGAGTTTTTACAGAGGTTATAGGTCTACCTGTCAATCTGTCATTATTTTCAGTGCATTTCCCAATAACTCTCCTTTTTAAAAGTGGATTTGTTGTACAGAATGCTTTAATCCAGAGTGATTTAGTTGCACAAACCTAAATTTCCAGTACACAATTAAATCCCTCTTGCAAAACAGTGACATTCTGCGGCAACCCCAGTCGAATCCCATTGAAAAATTGGCCAAGCAATTCCAGTGACAAAGAATGTGATTCTCATAACAACTGCTTGCACCTTCAATTTCTCAGGGAGTTTTAGCAACCCTTAACTGGTATAAGTGAAAATTGCTGTTTGTAGCACTCTGCCTTTGTGACCTTCCCTACTTCCAATTCACAGGCCCCTAATGATATTTTTTAATTGAAAGCATGTTTTGCAGAGGGGGGGTGGGGTGGGGTGGGGTGGGAAAGAGAATGTTTATAGTGTAACAGGATTCTGAATTTGTGTGTGTGTGTGTGTGCGCGTGCATGTGCTTGCATGTGCTTGCACACACCATGTATTTCCATGGTGAATAATGAATCTGCAAAATAAGTGTGTGGGAAATGGAGTCATAGCATTTAACTCAAAGCAGCCTGTTCCAATAGAACCACAAAACTACAAGTCAGAAAAAGCTATTAATACAGATAAATAATAGGTTGAGCACAACACTTTAAAAACCAGTTCTTCTTCAGATTTTTGCTGAACAGCCCAAACCTGAATTTTTGCTGAATCGCAAACAATCAATCCATCTTCTATTATCATGTCTGATTATCCTGAACATTTCAACAGCAATCAACAGAGGAGCAAATGTGTGGTGATAAAGGGTCTCTCCATTAAATAAAAGGGATTGCATTAATTATCGGTTTTCTTGAAAGGATAACCAGTTTGGTGACTAATGCTCCCAGCATGAGGTATTTATATATTGGATTGTTTGGGGATTTAGGTCCAATGCCATGACTACCAGCACCAGGGACAGATAATTATGTCACAAAGCAATTCAGAATCTAGTTTGAACGGTTACTGGTGAAAGATTTGACTAATCTATATAGCACATCTCAAATGTTCAGATTGTTTAATGTGTAGTATTTTAGTAATCCCAAGAGCCCTGCAAGGTAGGCCAGTATTATTATTCCCCTATGTTGGTTGTGTGGACTGGAGGACCCAATCAAGATACAGTTCTGGGTTCAGAAAATCCTGTTGGTACTCCAGATGTCCCTCCATTTGCTAAAATAATCTTGCATGAAAACAGAATAAGCAATACCTAAAGGCATCACTACACAGGACACTTGATATGCTGATTTCACATATCCAGTCTTCACAGTGCCCCCCCCCCCGATAACAAGTTGCCTAAAATTAATAGAGTTGTATGTAATCCAGCTGGATCCTATGCATGGCACACTTACAAATAAATTACACTAAGCTCAACATAACTTATTTATATTCTGCATTTAGTCAGTTGGTTCTTCAGAGTTGTTCAGGCATACATAACAATAAAATCAACACGAAACTCAGAATATTTCCAGACAAAAAGGAGTGAACCAACAGTTAAAAGCAGCAGGTTAGATTGCTTAACAGTGTGATCATGTGCATGTAAACTCAGATGCCTCGCTGAATTCAATGGGCCTTTCAGGTATAGAATTGCAGCCTAGGGCTCAAAACTTTAAAAGTCTGGAGAACAAAAAGCTCTGGCTCCCAAACAAGTCTGCACAGCATTGCTACCTTAAACTGAACACTCCAGTCCATTCATTTAAAATGTGCAATGCTTGTTGCTTACTCCACCTTAAGCCTTTGGGTAAGCCATAAAGGTTTCTGGATCTGAACCAGTGTTTCCAGTATTTCCTGACTAGCATTAACCTAAAGTTTAGTAACACAGTGTTTAGATTTTTAAATTTTAAAGGATATTCAACCCTATATTGTGCTACTAGATTATTTCATGGTTACCCAAATCCAGCCACATTTGCTACTTCCCATGAATTACAGTATCAGCCTATTTGCTGCCTGGTACTAGTTGCTCATATTGGGTTACTACATCCAACATTAAAAAAAAATCAAGGGTGTTGTGGAGCTGCGGGTGCATGTTTGTACTTGCACAGACCAAGCTTTGATAGATGGGATATTCCTGAGTAAAGCACAGACTCCCTCCCCTTTGGCTTTGTTGCTCAGCTTTTCCTCTGCTGACTTCCAGGGCTCTGCCTCCTTTTCACTCCCTCTCTCCAATCTAATGACGTTCGTCATGTTCACTCCCCCTCCCCAGTTCAGTCTTATTAGCTATTTTGGAAGAAGAGGCCTTTGAGGGTTGCTGGTGTCTCCATGGCAGCGGTCCAATAATATACCAGATGACAAATTGGGTGGGTGAAGAGCTGAAGTGGATTAAGTGGCTGCCTTTGTATAACCCACTATGATCCAGTTTCATCTCCCTCAAAGTGAACCTAAGCATGCAACTATAAAAACGGTGTGCATTTTACACTTCAGTCCTCCTGTCACTGGATTATTCAACTCTTAAGCATTTGTTTACATGCTTGCAGGACTGCAAATTTGGAACTTGTTAGTACTCTGTCACACAGCCGCTCCTGAGCTCAAAACTCACACCGCTTTCTGAAATGATTGCACTGACTTGGCCACAATTCCTTCCTGCCTTTTTGTCCTGGATGCAAGATAAAGCTTGTGGTCCAGCCCTCCATTTTAGAAAGCTGTCCCTATGGCAAATTTGATTTAGGGCCAGCCCAGTCCATTTTGTCATTCTGAGCTGCTTCAAAGCATAATGCCTTGCAGTGTTGCAGAATACACTAGGTTGCTCTTGGATTTCAAAGAGCTGCTTCATTTGGGAGGAAAAGACCTGAGCCAGAGGGACCTTTGGTCTTAAAATACTGTAATAAAGTGAAGCCTTTTATGTTCTGAACAGTGGAGGCTGTGGCTGCCATCCTACTAATGATTCGTTAAGTATCTCAGGCGTGTAGTGTGCTCTATTCTAATCCACACCATACAATTAAAGCACACCTTAAGCACATGGCTTCTCCCCAAAGAATCCTGGGAACTGTTATATACAGAATTGCAGAGCTACCATTCCCAGCGCCCTTAACAAACTAGAGTTTCCAGGAATCTTTGGTGAGGGAGTCGTGTGCTTTAAATGTAGAAGGGGGATGGGATCACGCACTACTTCCACCCTGAACCCTGTCTCCATATTAAAGAATAGTGGAAAGAGAACGGGTCGGAATAGAAGCGGAGGCTGAAAGAGCAACCACATTACTTCCGGCGCCCAACGGCACTTCTCATTTCAACTCTTACGTAGGCCCCTTCCGCAACGGGGGGGGGCACAGGGGCTCCCGCACAAGCCTCTCTCCCGGCTGTCAGGACGAGCAGCCGAGCGGCTCCACATGCCCCTCCGACGCCCCGCTCCCCGCCCGGAGGCCCTTTCAGCAGCCAACCTTCCCCCTCTAATCTTCCCTTCACCTCAGAGACACAGCCCCGCCAATCAGCGAAGGCCAGAAGCCATTGCCACGGCAACTCCACTCGGCCAATCTTAAACGGTCCCTCCCACGCCTCCCGCTTCCTCCAATAGAGAGGGCGCTTTTCGGACGGCCGCCCAATGGGAAGCCGCGGCTGCGCCCGTCGGGGGAATAGGCAAAGAGCGACCCAATCGCCGAAGGGCTTTTGCTTCCCTTGGCCCAATGGGGAGCCGCGCTGGTGTAGTCCTTCTGCCACAGGAGCCGAGTTAGGCCAAACCCGGCGGCTGCCGCCTGCTCTGTGGGTTTCGCCCGGGCGGCGGTCGCTGCCTTGGCCTTTGTCCCTCTCGGGCTCTCCTCTCCGCCGCCGCCTCCTTCGCCTCCTCCACCCGGGCCAGGCCAGGAGGAGCCTCCGGCAGAGCCCGCAGCCCTCCCGCGCCTCGTGCTCGCCGCTTCCCCAGCCTCGTCGCCGGCCCTACTCGCCGTGCCTCCGGCAGCGCCGCCCCCCCTCGCGGGGGCTTGGGCTCTGCTGGGGGAGGAGGCGGAGGAGGGGGATTAGCGCCGCGGCCGGACTCTTCCCCAGGCCCCCCTGCCTCCCTTCACCCCCGCCTCCCCCAACACCATAGGCGGCTCAGGCACCAAGATGTCCAACCGAGTGCTCTGCCGGGAGGCCAGCCACGCCGGCAGCTGGTACACGGCCTCAGGTACGCGCTGGGGCGGCGGGGGTTTCCGGGGCCTGTGGGGGCGAGGGGCTAGGCTGCTCCGTCGGGGGGCGGGATTGCTCTCCGTGAGCTCGCTTTGCCCATTTATTATACGCGGGGGATCGTTGTCTAAACGACCGAGGCGAATAAAGCCCTTGGAGATTTTTAATCCCGAGTAATTGACCGCCCGGCGCCGCTACGATGCGGTTTCTCGGTCGTTGCAAAGGTGGGCCGAACTCAACCTCTTACCGGGAATGCGAGGCTATTTTTATTATTATCCGAAAGTGGGGGAATAGTGGGTGCCCCACGGACCCATATCCGTGATCAGTCCCGGAGTGTTCACTCCAGGGTGCGAGGAATCTCGTGGCCACTTAAAGGCAAATTGATTTACGGGCGCGCAAGCTTTTTGCGGCCCAGAGTCTACCAGATCGGATGCAGCGATCTGGTGAAGCGGCCTGTAACCCTCGAAAGCTGTCACACAATGAGGTTGCAGCCCTGTACATACTTACCCTGGGAGTAAGCCCCGTTGAGGGGTTGGGTAGGACTGACCTGTGATGAGTAGGCATCCTTAGGATCGCCCTGTAATTCTGTGAATCTCTACGATGCCGTGAGACTCATTTGTGTGTGCGTGTGTAATTGGCGTTAAAAAGACATGGGGCGAAGGAAGAGAGCGTTTTGCAACACACACACGGCGCTGAATTGAAGGGAGGTTGGGATGGCAGCAGGCGACGATCGCGGCGCGGAATCCGGGGTTGATTGTGTCGAGAACAAGGCTTCCCCCTCTCCTTCGCCCCGGCAGGTGGGCCATTGACTGAATCAGCACTTTCCGCCGGGCATTTCGAGGCCCTTTACTAGAACCTCCGGTTGCCTTTGCCCTCCATAAGCTGCCGTGGTTGAATTCCCGGCCAAGCTCCAGAAGGGTGGGGAGATCGGCGCCTGGAGAAAAGAGATTCCCAGAGATCGCCCCGGGGATTGTAAGGAAGCTGTACTGGTTCCTATTCCCTTTATTATACCCTGAGGAAACAGCGCATTTCGGGAGAGCTGATTGTGAAAAAGAAGCCAAGAGAAGAATCCCTTGGTAGTTCGGTGTCGAGTTAAAGGAACCGACAAAGATCTGAAGTGTGTGAATGAAAAGGGGTCATTTAGGGTAATACGGGGGAGGGGAAAGAAATGGATTATGGGAACGCAGCAGTTGTCTCTGAATCGAGCTAGTAGGCATTTTGTCAAGTCCGGCATCTTGTACTGCCTAGTGTACTGTTTTTTCCCCTTTAAAAAATAACCATTACAATTTATTAAACCCCCAGAGAATGAGGTATTACTCTTAAGAAGAACAAAGGACTTAACGACTGTATGTTTATAGGGAAGTCTTTGTGTTTCCCCATACCAGCATTTTTAAAATGAACAGGCACAGAAGATATGAGGGAGATAATGCTTTTAATTAGTGTTTCTGGATTTCTGATACCATTTAAAAAGAGCAAATAGGACCAGTGGTGTTGTCAGTCTTTGCCCCCTTTTCTTTCTTCTGGCCCTCCTGAGGAAATGCTGCACACAGAACTGCCCTCTGCAGGATGAAAGGCGTACATGTTCCAGAATGAGTTTTCTTCCTGTATGCATTGTATGCAGCAACCAGATATTTCATTTGGCCTTACAAAGAAACAAAAGAACCATCAGGACTGAAACAAAACAAACACTTACTTTCTCTGGCTTGATGGTTTATACTCTTACCTGAAAAATGTGGTGTGGAGAGAGAAGATAGCAGCAGGTTTGACAAGCATATGTACATTGCAGCTGGCTACTTGCAACTTGCTAGCTGCATGTCTGCTTGTTAGCAACTGTAGTAGGTATCTTAACCTTTAGAAGTCACTCCTAATTGCTTGTCATCAGAAAGATTGTTTCCAACTGGAAGTGTTGGTTTAGGGATGCAATACATGCCATGAATGTGCACCTACTTTGGAGGAAGCTTGAATCCAGAACTGAAGCATGGTGCTTCTGAATGCTTTGGGATTTGTTATGAGGCAAAGCAGGTCTCCCCCAAAGCAGCTCAAAACAAGTCTGACTGCTCCTTGCAGTCAGGCAAAAACATTCTCTTCTAGACCTTTGGCTAATTGAACAAGGTATGACCCTTTAAACTGGGGGTATTGCTTTTGTTTCTTACTATGTTATGTATTTTTGTGTTTTGATATTGTAAACAACCCTGTGATCCTCAGATTAGGGGAAGCATATAAATTTAATAAATCAATAAATACAGTGTGGATGGAGGAACAAGGGCAAGTCATGCAAACAGATGATGCAATGCTATTGCTAACTTTGACAGGTTGAAATCAGGGTGCGGAGGATATTGCTGCAGGAGATAAAGTGTCAATTCACAACTTCTAGCAGGTGTAGCAATGGATTTAAAACTGGTTGGTAATACACATGCAGTGTCCAAGCTTGCTGGATGCATTGCTGAATAAACACATTTTCTGCTCTTGGGAGCTGGCAGCAAGACAAAGAAGACTGAACCGGCTGGCTAGACAGGTTTCCTGGGGTCTCTTGCTTACTCTACAGAAAAACCTAATGTGAGCTTAGCAGTTACAAGAGAAACTTGTATATGCCAAGCCATTTTGCTGCAGCAAATACTTAACTGCCAAACCACAAAGTGATGTGCAAACACAAATTTCATTTAAAGAAGAAAGAGTCCTGTGGCTCTTAAAGACTACCATATTTATTATGGCACAAGATTTCATGGAAAAGAGCCCATGTCATCAAATGCACAAAGTGTTATTCTTACTTGGTGTATGTGTGTGTGGAAAAATATGTAAAAGGATGTGTCAGAAGGCCATGAAATACAAGTCAGTCTTTGACAGCTCTGTAAAACTTATATGTATGCAAGATAAGCACCTTGACCATTCTCAGCAAGTTGCCAATGGTTGTTGCATCACAAAGGGATATGTCAAGCAATGATGATGAAGGGTGAAAATTTTTACAGTGCTTAATTTTTCTATGGATATTTTTCCTGTTTGATAAGTTCATTAGTAACTGAATAGATGCCAGTTGCAGATACAGTTTAGGCAAGCTTGGCAGTTTCAAAGTTTTTAGCTTTGTATGCTAAATACAAGTAAAATAGAAATGCTAAATTCGATCACTCTGGGGCATCAGAAAATTTCCGGATGCAAATTCCCCTGTGATGAGGAGGAAAGAAGGAAAGCCAACCCACTCCAAATTATATTTTATTTACAAGGCAAACAAATTCAGAAAAAACGGTATGTCAGGACAGTTTTGTATCCTGTTTTTGTCATGGATGCAACTGAGAGCTACCACCGCAAACTTACTGCACCTCGGGCCGGGCGTGGCGGGCCAGAGGGTGGGAGAGCGCGTGCCCATATGCGTGCGCACATGCTATTTCCGGTGCTCCTCCGACCCGGAAGTGGGCAGCCATGCAGCACCGGTAAGAGCGGGCAGCGGGGGTCGCCACAGACCGGATAAACGAGTCCCTCGGGCCTTATCCGGTCCACGGGCTTTAGTTTGGGGACTATGATCCAACCAAAGAAATAGTGAATAAAATGTATTCCAGAGGCTGTTAATGCTTCTGTTGTTCAACTGAAATGTATCTTAAATAAGCTGCAATCCTACATCCATTTCCTAGTGAGTAAATAACATTGAATACAGCTGGTCATGCATCTGAGTAAACATGCATTGAATTGTGTTCTTTGTATGTTTTTACCACCATAACATATACTGTGGCATGTGTTTTCATAGGCAGCTGTGTACTCTTATTAGATATCTGCACCTACAAAAGGTTGTGTCATGGAAAAATTCGTTATTGGAAGATGTGATGTTACACTCTTGCATTCAAGTGGTGTTCAAAAGTATATCTATAAAAATGAAAGATAACTTACGAAAGCAACTTTGGTCCATTATAGACCAATGGATCTTCATACACTGTTTTATTTTACCAATGGAAGCATCAAGCTTTTCCATATAGGTGTTTTTGTTTTCTATTTGCAGATTTTTGAACTTTAGCAATTTATATAGTTCAGGTTACTGGGTGTTTGTAGTCCATTAAGGGGCATTCCATGCTAAATGAACAAACGAAGTGATTTTTTAAAAAAAGAAAGAAAAAGAAAATGCACTGTGAACATTAAAGTACCTTCCACACATGCTGATTTTGGATGAGATGTTGTGTTTTTCAGAAATTCAGCAGCCTCCCAAGTTTTACATGCTAGGTGAACTAATTACTAGTAGGTGAATGGAAGTAACCAAAGCAATTGCTGAATTTACTTGCACAGAGGAGATAATGTTTGCCCCCCCCCAA